AAAAACATTTAGATTTTTCTTATTATTTTAACAATTTTTGTTTATAACAATAAAACTAATAACAAATAAAATAAATAACCTACAAAAATGTGTTGCTCAATAAAACCAGAATGTTTTTAATATTTGGCGAAACCGAGAAAGATTAAATTCTACACTGAGAAAAAAAATTTATCGTTTGACTAAATTAATTTAATTTGTCTTTATTTTTTTCATTAGAAAATGTATGTATTTCAGTCAAATATAATATGTTTGATTTAAATACATACATTCTTCATTAAAAGAAATAAAGACAAATTAATTTAGTTAATCAACAGCTTATATCTGATTAGCTAAAATGACTAAATTCAAATAAAAATTTCTTTTTTAAACTTCAATCAAAACCATCTTAACTCTAAATGTTCTCTGTAGAAGATTCTCCTTTTTATTTACAAAAACGACACAACTCAAAATGTGTTACTCTTGTAGAAGATCTTTGAAAATATTTTAAGAATGACACGAGTGTTATTTGATGAACCGACCGTGCAAGTAAAATTAGTTTACTTTTGATAGAGTAATCTTTACGTAACTAATTTATAGTAATTATTCAAAGATTACATTTTTTTGAGTTGTGTCAATTTTCAGCTGTGTCAATAAAGAGAACGATATAAGTCTGTGTTGAGAATTACGAAAATTAATATAAATTCAGAAACTAATGTGCAGTAAAATAATTGCGATTAAATGACGAGTGCTTATATAAGATATATGTATTCTTGCGTGTGCAAGTGATATCGATCACGTGCGGATCGGCTTCTTTACATTTATTTGCCCAGTTATCTAATTAACTGAGCAGTCTCTTGCGGCTTGATAATCGGATTGGATACAATTCGTATAATACGTCGGCGGGCAAAGAGGAAAAGCAGAACAAGGAGGAAAAACGCGCAAATGGAGATAAAAATCCACGTTTCGTTAGGTAGAAGTTCTAGAAATGTACCGCACGTAAAATGCAACCATGTTCGCGTACGGAGATTGTGAGCGCGCTGTAAATAAACTAAATTTCCGTCGAAAGGAAACATGAACGGGAAACTCGACGAGTACAAAATTAAAGAGTACACTACTCCGGTGTTTATTAATTTAACAACATTGATAGATCAATTTTGTAAGTACGTGAATAGCGGCAGCGGTATGTCCTCGCACAAGTAACATTTCAACCAACCTAAGTAATTACTTTAAAAACGTTCTCACGCTTGTTGCTTCTTATAAAGTTAAATTATTTATTAAATTCAAATATTTATGAAATTACATTGTTTCACAAGATTATATATAAAACAAAATCTGCACAACGAGAAAAAGTAGAAAGCTTATCCTCGTACAATTATAATTAGGATCATTTAAAGTTCAATTGCCCAAATTGTAGATATTAATACTTTGGTAGTTGCACAAATTTTTATAATCGGTCTCTTAATGCCACACTATATTATTTTATACCTAATTCAAAAAATAAATAAAAATTCGTATGTAATATAAAACTTAATATTTTTCAAAATATTTACGGATATTTAGCTATAATGTTCATAAAAAAGTACACACGTCAAAATAATAAATATCGTTCCGATAAATCAGCGTCGTGTATATCAATGTAAACAAACATATTTATTCAATATATTTATTATTTAGTTAATACTATATTCATTATTTCACATATTTATTGTCGCCTGTCTTTTTTCATATTAAACATAATTAATATTATTTGTAATTCGCTGCAGCTACAAAATACGTTAAATAAACATATTTCCGGTAAAATATACTTTTTAAATAAAAATTTAGAATTTTGCAGAATTCACAATGTACTATGTACAATGCAAAGTATTCTTGGTTCTTGTACAAATGCAGTAAGTAAAAAAATGTGTATGTATTTTAATTGATATAGGGACGCCTTGGATTCACGTAGGTGTGTTCCAGTTATACACATGGCAATTAAAATATTAAATAGATTGCGTGTATAACTTCCCGTAAAACTTTTCTTAAATCAAAATTAACTTTAAATTCATCAAAGAATTTCTTGAAAGACTGCAATTTGGAAACTTAAGTCTCGGAACATTCTGCACTTGGGAACAATGATTTTGCTGAAAGATCTAAAATTTTGTTGGACTATCAAAATAATTTAAAAAAATCAATTGCTAGAATATCAAAATTTTTTGCAGCATTGCTTATCGTTTTTTAGATTCCAATACAATTATTATTTTTATCAATCAACAATATCATTTTCAGATATATGCAGGATTGGTAAAAAACATGTTTTAAACGTGTTTTAAACAGTTTAAAAACATATTAAAAACATGCTTAATTGATGTTTTTAATATGTTTTAAATATGTTTTTTTTATACAGGGTGGGCCATCTATTGGTACGTTTTTACAGAGTGGGCCATCTATTGGTACGTTTTTAAAAATGCGATCAAATGAGCATACATTGATATTT